TGGGCCAAACCGAGCAAGAGCTAAGAAATTTCTTTGGTTTGAACGGTCAGTTTGCTCCACTGAAGTCTCCTCCATCCAATTTAAATTCACTTGTTGACCCGGTTAAGTCTTCTTAAACAATTTTCTATCCAAAATTAAAGAACTTCATAAACAAACAATACAAGTTGGGAGAAAAAAGAAAGAAAGAATGGGCATTCACATGGTGTTTTACTTCATCCTGCAGCTACCATGGCTCATACGTCTAACAACATCGTTCGAAGCAGGCGGGTCTGGTTGTAATGAAGCATGTGGGACTCTTGCCATTCGTTTCCCATTTGGAATCAAAACAGGTTGCTATAACAATTCCTGGTTTAGAGTAACTTGCAACGAAACAGCTAATGGACCAAAGCCTTTCATCAGTCGCATCAATTTGGAGCTGCTCTATTTGTGGTCCGACGGCATGCACAACCTTGTCACCGTCAACAATCCGGTAATCTATCTGAATTGCAACGGTAAAGGAAGCAATGCCACCACTTCTCCTGCTAGTGTCAACCTGAAAGACGGTCCATTTGTCTTTGCAAGTAGATACAACGTATTTGGATCAGTAGGTTGCGGTTATTTGGCCATTTTGTTTCGAAACAATGAAACCGATCCCCTCGTTGTCTGCCTGCAGCGAAGATGTCGCGACCCTATTTCTTCGAAGTTCGGTGGCTGCTCTGCCACGATTCCTGAAAACCTCACTTCCTATACTACAGCCTTGAGATCCGTGACAGAGATAATGAGCCCTGAGGAAAAAGAATACAGCAAGAGATGCACATCTACTTTCATGTCTGATTACTCCACCCAGTTGTCAGGTATAAGTATTCATTCAACGCATGTTCCTGCATCGCTCGAGTGGAGGCCCGTCCCATGCGATTTGGAAGGTTACCATTTTTACTATCATAATCTCATAGATTCTACGACAATTTGACATTGATTGATCTTTGACTGGTGCTGTACCATTTTTCTATGCAGCCTCACTATGCCCTGTAGTAGAACCACCTTCACCATACAAATTTGGTTGTAATGAATCATGCGGGAATGTTGAAATTCCATTTCCATTTGGAATTCAAGTGGGCTGTTACAAGAGTAAATGGTTCAGAGTAACTTGCAACAAAACTGCTGATGGGGAGAAACCTTTCATCAGTAGCATCAATATGCAACTTCTCAATGTTTCGTTTTACGATGGCACAGTTACTGTCAACAATTCAATAACTTATTCCGATTGCCCTGGAAAAGATCGAAAAAACAATGGGGTTCGTGCCATTGGTAAGCTAACAGGCACCCCATTTTTCTTCTCGCATATCTTCAACAGATTCATGTCTGTAGGTTGTGGTAATTCGGCTACTTTTCTTCTTAGCTCGACTCATGGTACTCGTATTCATGGTTGCAAGCAACCTCCTTGTGGCAATACTATGACTTCAACTGTTAGTTGCTCCACTAATATTCCCCCGGGTCTCAGTTCTTTTGCTGCAAACATCACACGATTTCGTCCTAGTAATGGCAACAACAGATCATGCAGCTCAGCTTTCATTGCTGACATGCGTTTTCTCGACTCAATTGAGGCAAACTCTGACCCCAATAACACAACAACTAGTCGTACTTGGACGCACGTTGCCACAACACTGGTATGGGCTACACCAAAACGAGGGCTCTGTGAGTTGGGAGAAGAATCGGGCACCGTTTGTAGCCCTGATGGTCGATATTGTTGGACAAGCTTGAGCAAAATGCATCTGTGTGTTTGCTCCACGGATAACGTTGAGGACTATTGTTATCTTTCCACTGATGTATGCCAAGGTATCGTATTAAAGTTTTCATTTGTCTTAATTGACTTTTTTCTAACTTGAGTTCATTTCATAAACCACAGAGGTCGGTAAATGCGTGGATATGAAATATAGCAATTGTTTTATGCTTTGCTTGAATGCTCCCGGTAATAACTGCTCGTCGTCATGTCCTGCTCGATATGAATACTCGAGCTTGGAAGATATGTGCAAGCCCAAAGATTTTATCAATTCATCAGAGTCTTCAAACAAAAGGGTCAAAAGATCTCAGAATTTGTCTGTCATTATAGGTTGCAGCACTAGCATTGGGACGATACTTGTGCTACTTGTTACATGGCACTTGCAAAAACTAATAGAGAGAAGAAACAACATCAAGTTGAAGCAGAAGTATTTCAAAAGAAATGGAGGCTTACTTCTGCAACAACAATTGTCCAACAATGAAGGAAATGTTGAGAAAATCAAATTGTTTGCTTCAAAGGAGTTGGAAAAGGCAACCGATTATTATAATGAGAATCGAATTCTTGGAAGAGGCGGTCAAGGAACTGTGTTTAAAGGAATGCTAGCAGATGGAAGCATTGTAGCAATCAAGAAGTCGAAAATGGCGGAAGAAGATAAATTAGACGAAAATGAGCTTAAACAGTTCATCAATGAGGTGATGATTTTATCACAAATTAACCATAGAAATGTGGTTAAGCTTTTAGGATGTTGCCTTGAGACAAAAGTCCCTTTGTTGGTTTATGAGTTCGTCTCCAATGGAACACTGTCTCAACTCATACATGAGCCGAATGAAGAGCTCCCTCTCACAAGGAAAATGCGATTACGAATTGCGATTGAAATCGCTAATGCATTATCGTACTTGCATTCTGCTGCTTCCATCCCTATTTATCATCGAGACATCAAGTCCAGCAACATACTTTTGGATGATAAATACAGAGCAAAAGTGTCGGATTTCGGAACTTCGAAATCGGTTGCGCTCGAGCAAACGCATGTAACCACTCGAGTACAGGAACTTTCGGATATTTGGATCCCGAGTATTTTCGATCGAGTCAATTTACAGAAAAGAGTGATGTGTATAGTTTTGGAGTTGTGCTCGTCGAACTTATAACAGGACAAAAACCCATCTCTTCAAGTCAATCAGAGGAAGTGGTGAGAAGCTTGGTGAACTTCTTTCTACTGTCGATGGAGCAGAATTCCTTACTTGACATTGTTGATCCAATGGTGATGAACGATGGCCCCGAAGAAGAGATTGTAGCAGTTGCTAAGCTGGCAAAGAGGTGCTTAAATCTTAATGGAAAGAAAAGACCCACAATGAAAGAAGCTGCTATGGAGTTGGAGCGGATTAGATCCTCTGAAGAAGCTAATGCCGCTGAACAAAGTGCAGATGAAGATTCTGATATAGACGACATAATCGAACTTTCAACCACTGCTTCATCTTCAACGTCTGGTTCAGTTCTTAACGATAGCGAAGCTTTTACATTATATGAGGAGTCTTAATTAGTCGGTGGTCAAAAGAACGATTTTTATCCCTAAACTTTTCAGATTAAAATATTATGTCTGTAAAAATATTTAATTGTTTATTATTAAATAATTAATTTTAGGGTAAAATATATAAATGGTCAATAAACTTTTCAGCTGCTTACATTTAGGTCCCTCAACTTTTAAAACTTACAAACCAAACATTTAGTTCGTTTGCAATATGGTCCCGATGTAACCGCCGTTTTACTATCGTTAGGGGAAATTATATAAATTGTCAGTGAACTTTTCAGACACTTGCATTTAGGTCCCCTCAACTTTTAAAACTTGCAACATAATCATTCTAAACCCTAAAATTCAAATGCTTCAATTACATTCTAAACCTCAAATTCCAAAAATACTTCAATTACATGCTCAACCCCAAATTCACAATACATTCTCAAAATCTATCATAACAAACTGAACTTGAAACAACAACCTAAACCCTCAAAACATAACCGTTTCAAAAAAAAATTAACCAACTATAAGTGAATAATAAATGATTATGTCGGGTTTAGGGTTATGTTGGACCTAAATATTCAATTCAGTTTATAAAGTAGTTGACTCGAAATTTTTTCGATTTGAGTTTATAAAATTTAAATCAAGTCGAATTGAATTGAATTTTCGAGTTTCTATTTAAATTTAATTATAAATATTTATCATATTATAATATTATTTTATTCTAATTCAGTTCAGTTTATAAAATAGTTAACTCAAAATTTTTCGATTTGAGTTTATAAAATTTAAATCAAGTCGAATTGAATTGAATTTTCGAGTTTCTGTTTAAATTTAATTATAAATATTTATAATACTATAATATTATTTGATTCTAATTTAAATAGTTTTTAACCATATACAATACATATATTTCTTCATATTTTTTCCATATGTGTTATACATATATCATACAGAGTCAAGGGACTTTACTCAAACTTGAAAATTAATCCACTAATTACTAAAAATTTTGAGATATTCGAGTTGTATTTTACAACTCGATTTTAACTTGAAATTTTTTAAGTTGAGTTTATGAAATTACAACTCAAAGTCAATTTGTATCAAATTTTTTGAATCAATTCAAGTCGAAAAATATTTTTTTCCCGAATCGAATTGAGTTTTGTTCACTTATAGTTGGTTAAATCTAACTTTTAAATCATAAACCCAACATAATCACTTGTTGTTATGGATCCAAAATGAACTAAATGTTGTTTATTATGTTGGGTTAATTGGTGGGGAAATTTATCATTTAAGGTTATATTTGAGGGTTTAGGGTTACTGCTTCAAGTTCAGTTTGTTTGATAGATTTTGAGAATGAATTATGAATTTGGGGTTGGTCATGTAACTGAAGTATTTTTGGAATTTGAGGTTTAGAATATAATTGAAGTATTTTGGAATTTGGGGTTTAGAATATAATTAATGACTGTGTTGCAATTATTAAAAGTTGGAGGACCTAAATATAAGTTCCTGAAAAGTTTAGTGACCATTTATATAATTTATCCTAACAACAGTGAAATAACCGTTATGTTGGGGACTATTTTGCAAATGAACTAAATATTTGGTGACTGTATTGCAAGTTTTAAAAGTTGAAAAGAGCTAAATAAAAGCATCTGAAAAGTTGAGTGACTATTTATATACTTTACCCTTATATTTAAAATAAATATTATCGTTCCAAATATTCATGTAAATTTGAGGCGAAGTCTAACAAAACCTTCTTTTATGTTCTACAATGCGACCGCCATCTTTACACTGCAACTTCTTCTCCTCTCTCAAACAGGTATTAAATGGTAGCTGCACTTGCAATTTTACAAATATTTGCATTTATCTTTCTATTTGAATCCTGATTCCCCACTTTCTTTCCTTCCAAATTCTTACAGGTTGAGAAAAGATTGAAACTTGAAGAAAACCAACCAGATTCAGGCCCATCCAGTTCAACCCCATCCCATGTTCCTGAAACTAATCCTACGCCAACACAATCTTTGGGCACACCGCTTTACCTGCACTTAACCAACCCTTCCAGCCCCAACGTTAGCAACACTGTCGAAGACAGTGAACCCCCACGAGCTTTCATCTCTTCTTTTACTTCACCACAGTTGCTTCCAACAGACGAAACCCAACGTCAGATAAACCTTCAGATTCTCCCATAAGAAAAGACAGGGATGAAATCGAGTATTTGATGCAACTTTTGGGTTTATCTGATAATTTTGAAGAAACCCAGAAAAAGGGGAAGCAGAAGACTGTCGTTTGTGGAGGGAATTCTTGTGGGTGTGAGTGTGGGTTTTATGAGAAGATTGTTGGGGTTAAAGGGCCAAAGTGTGAGAAGGAAGTGGAAAGGATGGAAGGTTGGATTAGATACTTCTTGGGGAATGGTAGTGAGCCTTTGAGGCTGGCTTTCTTGCTTATGGGAAAAGCTGCTTTTGAGAGTGGTGATGAATGTGGGTTTCAATGCCTGGAGTTCCCTTCTGCCATAGACGAATTTTTGAAGATTGATCCTCCTAAAGACTGAGAGCCTGAGACATTATTAGAGTTCTTATCCAATGGATTTTCTTCTTTCTCCATTGGCTTGAAGTTTGAAGCTTTTGCATATCACCATTTCATGTCAGCTTGTAAGAGGAGAGTCCGAGTCATTGGTTTGTGAAAGTACTTTCTTTTTGTTTTGGACAACTGAAAATATTATCATTTTATTTGTATGTTTATCTGGACTTGCTGATGTATATGATTTTGATGTGTTAATGATAAAAAAAAATTATGAAGTCAAACAAAGTTGCAGTCTGTTCCATTTCGAGTTAACTGGAAAGACAGTTTGAGATTGAGGAAATTGAAACTATTCAATAGAAACCAATACATTAGAATGCAATGGAGTTTGCTGCTGTTATGCATCTCTAAGGCAGCAGAGTGCTCGATTCTTCACGCGATTATGTCCTCATTTTCATAGTATTTTCTTTTAGCTTGGAAAGGATCGATAAAACCTCGTTCATGTTGGGTCTTTCCTCAGGATTAGGGGAGGTACAAAACAAGGCTAGTTTAAAGAGGTTTTCTACTGCTTCCATTTGTTCATCCGAAACATTCAAAGCTAGCATAGGATCCAGAACTTTAAGGATCCCTTTGGTTCCACTACCAAGGGATTTCTCAACTAGTTGTTGAAGACTAACTGGCAGTCCATCCTCTTCCATGACTCCAGTTGGTCTCTTTTTTGTTAGGAACTCCATGACTACTATGCCGAAGCTGAACACATCCACTTTAGTTGTAACATTCCTCATGTATGCGAATTCTGAAGAGGTGCAGAGTAATGTTTCAGTGATTCAGGTTTTGAAATGTTCATAATCTTATAATTATCCAAGCATGATAATTTGAATAGCACTTGATCTGTCGAAAGATATGAAGGGATTCCGCTGTTTATAGTTGAAACTAGATTACATATAACATGGGAGACCATGATTGTTAAAATTCTCTTTTCTCAATATGTCTGTTGAAAATATTGCAGGTTTGAAGAATTTTCTGGCATATGGAGAAATTAGTAAGTGCATTAATAAGTTGAAGTAATTGAAGAATACCTGGTGCCAAGTAGCCAATAGTGCCTTCAAATGCTGATGTTGATGAAAGGCTACTTCCACCATTAAGATGAAAATTCAGCATCCGAGCTGTTCCAAAATCACTAACATGCGCAACCCAATCTCCATCGAGAAGTATATTTGAAGGCTTCAAATCACAATGTACAATGGGGAAATCATACCCAGAATGCAAGTAATCCAATGCACTAGCAACTGCAATGCAAAGATCAACTCTTTTAGATAATGTTCAGATATCATAATCCATCATGGAACCATGTATGACGCTCTCTAAACTCCCGTTCTCCATGTATTGAAGATGATAGCCTTTAGTTTCTGGCTTTCCCATGCATACCCAAGTACCTTTACCAGATTCTTGTGCCTTAAATGGCTCAAGTTTTTTACTTCTCTGTGAAAGCTCTTATCAGATTCTTTGGAGAACTGATGCAGATTTAATTTCTTCACTGCTATCTGCTTGCCATCTTCTAGCTGGCCCTTGTACACGGTACTCAAACTGCTTGTACCAATAATGTTATCTTCGCTGAAAGATCTAGTTGCATTTTGTAATTCCATTTTATCAAACCTTCTTAGAGCTGCCGGTGTGAACTCTGGTTCTGGATTTTCCAACTCGACCAGTTTCCTCTCTTTGGCACGCCAGAGGAGGGATGAAACTACGAGCACTAGGATTAGTAGTACTGAAACAGTTCCAAGGATGCTGACAATTATTATTGCCTTTTTGGAAAATTGAATTGAACTTCTCTTGCTGCATGACCTGAGAGCTCTGTTTCCACAGAGAGCTTTGTTTCCTACCAAACTTGATGAGTTGATAGTTTTGAATATGCCGTTCTCTGGAACATGGCCTTCAAGTTGATTGAATGAAAGATCGAGATGTGTCAAGCTGGAACTATTGGTAAAACTATCTGGAATGCTACCCCGAAGTTGATTCTGGGAAACGCCCAGGGAGCTTAGATGCTTCAATTTCGCCAAGTTTTCTGGAATTTTACCATCTAATTTATTTCTTGAAAGGTTCAAGCTTCTAAGCATATCCATTCGAGTAAATGCCTCAGCTGAGATGATACCAGAAAGTTTATTTCCTGAAAGATCTAGAGAAAACAAATTTCTGCAGCCTCTGTTTGTTGTAGGAATGACTCCTGAAAAGTTATTGTTTGAGATGTAGATATCTTGCACCATTTCCAGCTTACCCAGCTCATCTGGAATACTTCCTTCTAAGAAATTGTTGGAGAAGTTCAGAAACAGCTGCATCATTCTCATCCCTGCAAACATGGACTTGGGAATCGATCCTGTGAGATGGTTGTGAGAGACATCCAATGTTGAAAGTCGATATAGATGTTCCATGCTATTTGGAAGGGACCCTTTGAGCTTGTTGTTGTTGAGGTTGAGGTATGTAAGAAACTCGAGCTTTGAGATGGCATTCGGAATGGAACCTGTTATCTTGTTGTGCTGCAAGTCTAGATAAGTAAGCTGCTTCAGTTCAAATAGTCTCCCAGGTAGGGCACCTTGTAGAGCGTTATCATGCAATGAGAGCCCTTGAAGGAGAGAGGCTTTTGATCATTCTGGTGGAATTTGGCCTGTGAAACCATTTCCAGCAAGGCTTAAGGTCACAAGTCGGTTCAAATTGCCAATCTCTGGTGGAATTGAACCTACAAATGAATTGAAACCAGCTTTCAAAACCTGGAGATTATAGAGTTTGCCTATATCTGGCTTTAACAATCCAGTAAAATTGTTTTCTGCTATACTTAGAAGACGAAGATTTGAGCAGTTGAAGAGATCATCAGGGATTTCACCCGACATCCTATTTGGCTCTATAGATAGAAATGTTAAATTTGGCAACTGCCCTAAACCTGATGGAATTTTCCCTGTTATATTATTAAAACCCAAAGATATAACCTGAAGATGGGTTGTAAAGCAATCCGAGGTTTTGTGGAAGTTTTCCTGTGAGAGAATTGTAGCTCATTGACAAATATGTCAAATTTGTCAAGTTGGTTATTGATGAAGGAATCCCTCCCTTGAACTTATTGGAATGCAGGGTCAGTACTTGTAACGAGGCCAAAGATCCAACCTCATCTGGTAATTCTGATCAACTTGTTCTCCGAGAGTCCTAACTGGTTAATGATTTCAATTGGAACAAGGAAAGAGGAATTGTGGAATTCAACTTGTTTTCATACAGTCTTAAAGTCTGTAATTGTACCAGATTTCCAAGCTCACGAGGAATGGCTCCCATGAACTTCTTGGTGTAGAGTTCAAGATTAACAAGTGACCTGCAACGACCTAGTTCTGATGGGATTTCTCCCTTCAGTGAGTTATTAAGCAGCAGAAGATATTCTAAACTCGACAAATTCCCTATTTCCAGAGGTATTACTCCGGAAAGATGGTTTTCACTTAGGTCTAAAGATTGCAAAGCTCTCAACTTGCCAATGGAAACTGGTATTGAACCTTCCAAACTGTTTCTAAATGCTACCAACATTTGAAGATTAACCAAGTTTCCTATGTTTTTAGGGATTGTTCCTGTGAGATTGTTGTAGATAATACCTAGAGCTAACAAGGAAGTGCAGTTGCAAATGCTGTCGGGGATGCTTCCGTTCAGAAAGTTATCGCCTAAGTCCATCGTTTGCAGATTTCTAATGTTTCCTATTTCCGGTGGGATTGGACCCGCCAGAGAATTATAGTAAAGAATTAGATCAGTGAGCTGGGAGCATAGTCCTAGTTGAGGTGGAATATGACCTGAGAATGAATTTGAAGTTAAATCAAGAACCTGGAGGCTTGAAAGGTTTCCAACAAATGGAGATATCTCCCCATTGAGCTGCATTTCAACCAGGGTGATCGAAATGACTCGACTCGAGGAAGGGTCACAGGCAATCCCAGACCAGCTGCAGTGATGGTTCGCCGCCGTCCAATCTGCAAGTGCTCCCAAAGGGTCATGAGTGACAGATCTCTTGAATGCCCGAATCACCTCAACTTCAACCTCTAAGCTCGGTTCTGCATACAGTGCAGTAAGTAAAACGGAACAAACTATGGCAATGATTAAACCGTTGATGCATTTTAACACCATTGGTAGCTAGAGTAATGATATTCTGAAACTACGAAGCTGATGATAGATTTGGATTCCGAGACATGCTTTTATGCACATTTCAACCGATCATTGTTCCCCAAAAACGGGCTGCAACTTGATAACCAAATACCGTGTCTTTAAATGACGATTTCGAGTAGTCTTTGACGCCTTTTCTTTGGTATCATTGACCTTTGAATTGAATCTGGAATATGATAAGTGACTGAATTGTCTTCTACCAACCCATCTACCATTCCGAATAAACACGAATACAAGTGGGGAACACGGTGATGATATGGCGTTTAGTGAGTTTGGTCAATGGGAAAGTAGAATGTGAAGTGGGAAGCTAGGGGCGTCAACCATTTGAACTGGTAAACGTGTAGTTGACTGGACGCAATGTTGAATGGGATCATGTAGCAGAATTAAGACAAGTTGTTCAGATTCTCGGTGGAGATTTGAGTTCATGCAATCGTGCTTGTGGGCCTGCTGTAGTTTTATATTCCATTTATTTGGAAGTCTGGACAACAAAACCAGTAATGTGCATTAATGGTATATACGTAGTGCTCACAAAAACTGAACGACCTTCCATCATATTCGACACAAATTAAATTAAGGGTTTGTGAATGCTTATAGAAATAATTTAGATTTAAAATTTCGTTTAAAATGTGAAAGTATTTTCAAATAATTTACTTTTTGCTAAAATTTTACATTATTGACTTAAACCAATAAATAAGTACTTTTGGTGGAAGAAGAAATTCATTAGAAAATTTTGTTTGAAGAAATATTCTCAACAAAATAATAGGATAACTTCATAATCTTCGTCATACTCAACATAAAATAGTAAGTTGGATTGTCACGGAACTTTCGCACTGCTGCCAGCCTATCACCAGCCGTATTTTTTATATTATAAATATAGTTTTATCATTAGTTTTATGCTTAATAAAAAAATAAGTTCCTAAATTATGTCCGAAAATATTTTAGTGCCTAAATATTAAAAATAGATGTCTATTGTTTTTAAAGTCAAAATTTTTAGGTGTCCGGACGTTAAACGCCGTTAAAAATCTTCGTTAAGTGACACATGTCACATTCCGATAATTTTGAGAATTTATTTAAAAATTAAAGAAAAAATTATTAAAAAAACCACCAGTAGCCCCTTTGTCCCTTTCCCCTTCTCCTTCCATAGCCATCGATCTACCAACGGTGACCGTTACCACCATCGTCATCAGCATCGACGTTGACCCCGATCAAACCATCGTTGACCTTTAATTGTGATCTACCACCGTTTGTCGTGAAGAAGCATCGATTTTGGTAGATTTTGACGTCCATAAGTCACACCTCCGCCACTATTCGAACCACCGTGTAATTCCGATCAAAACCAACTGTTCAACGACGACGATGATAGTCGGAGATGACCGGTGACTGTTTGGGTTAGGAAACTGAAATTGGAAATTAGGATTTGGATATTGGAGATTTTAGATTTAGGGAATTCAGGTGATGGTAAGGACGACGATTGATCATTGGGTGTGCGTCAACGGGTGAATGATCGTTAGCGATAACGATGGCGGACCAAAAATGATCGATAACAATTGCTAATGGCCGGAGATGGGAAGAGAGGGAGGGTGAAGGACGAGGTTGGGGTTGAAATATTTTTCGAGAAATAGTTTGAGAATTTATTTTCGTATTAAGCTTTAGTTTTATTATATATTTTTTTATTAAACTAAGGTGAATATAAAGTAGTATATATTATAAAATCTTTTAAATTATTTGACAATAAATTTACTCAAACACCTCTATTTGCTTGCAGAAGCTGGTGCTCAAATATGAGACATCTAAAGACATTAATCATTTGTTTAACCACTGAGGTAGTTTGTTGATATTATTCATTTAATCACTGGAGTAGTTTGATTGATACAATTATATTATTATTTTGAAAAAAAATATTTTTAATAAAAATATTTTTATAAAATAAGTAATATCAATTAT